TTTGACCACGTTCCATGAAGAACCCCCCAACCTCCTCCTTACGTTGAGGATAAGTCGTGATCTCCACCAAGGATAATCTCTGAGCTGCGATAAAGAAGCCTTGAGGATATGTCATGATCTCCACAAGAATGATCTCTTAGCTACTATAAAATAGCTCTAATCTGAGGGAGGAATATCACGCCCCACCAGAGACATACAGAGGACGAACCGACTACCGGAGATTACTATTTTTCTTTGATTCTCCATTCTCTCTCTCAAAGCTTGTATCTTCATTCTCCATACCTTTGAATCAATAAAATATCCGGCAACTGAAGCCATTGAAGAGTGGACGTAGGTCGAATTGACCGAACCACTATAAATTGTGTCTTCTTTAATTCCTTCATTGATTTCACTGCATTTATTATCTACACTTGACGGGTGGTGTGCAAAACCATTTTTGTGCATCATCATTAATGATTAATCTATAATATAAAACATGATAAATTTTAATAGGCTTGTCCGACGGTCTCAGATAAATTCATATAAGGACCACTAACATCCTTCTTAAAACTATTCATATTGAATTTCTCTCTCCCTTTTCCCATAAAAAATCATTCACTTCTCACTTACCGACACGGGTTACTTCCAGTATCTCACATTACACCATCAATATCATAAAATGATTTCAATGTGACCCTCTAACACTAATATTCGGTTGCAATATTCGTCAATTCTATTATGTGGCCCCCATCCCCAAATGCAAAGAGATTTGACAAAAATGATAATATAAGTTAATATGAGGGTGCAATGTAAAAAAAATTAATCATTAAATGTGCAAGTTGAGAATTTTAAAATATCTCAGGATGCAAAGTGCGATTTATAACATCCCCTCCTCTTTCTTTCTTTCTTTTTTTTTTTTTGTCTATTGCAATAGTCAATCATGATGGTGCTTCAAGCAAGGACCCAATACCAGTTAGTCATAGTATAAGAGTTGTTTGTTTGGAAAACCAATCCTCTCAATCTGAATAATCCTCAATATTTTTAAATTTTCAATATTGGTTCTTATTCATGAGTCTCTATTTAGGGATCCCATAATTTATTATGGGTGATAAAAATTAAAAAAAATGGGGATTTTTCAAATTATTAGGATTCTACTGCAGCTTGTTGGGTCCCGTCCCTCTATTATACGATCGGCCCCAAGGGGGTTTACTATTTCCAAAAACGACATTATTATTCACACAAATTAATGTCGTTATGAGAAATAACACCTCTACTGTAAAACAGAAGAGGTGTGCCTATGTTTGTGTGTATCTAAAGTGAACAATGCTATAGAAATTTAATTTGAAAAGATGATTAGAGATTTAATTCAATGCAATCGTTAGACTAATTGTAAGTTTTAATATTAGGTGAAACGTATTTTCAATTTAATAATTATATTCAATTAAATTTAAAAAATATTTTTCTTCTGAATTTGTACAATCTGCAAGGTGTATCTTACCTGTAATAAATGCAGAAGATGGCCTTTTAATAGGTTCGGCGAGGTTGGTAGCTTCAGACTAATGCCTGAATGATATGGCCCCCAATCTATATAGTTAAATTAGTAGGGCAAGGCCAATGTGTGAGACTTTTAAGTACCATTCACTACTATTCACACTTCACTCTACTTGTTCCAACCAAATAGCATGTGTTGTTGGGAAGCTAATGTTAGACAAGGAAGAAATTCCTATATGGTGTTGTGTGGAGCTTTGATGGCTTTGGTTCCACTAATAATATATTAGGTTAATAATACTTTTAGTCTTTAAAATTTGTACGTTTTGTCAGTTTAGTTTTTAAAAATATTAATTTTATCAATTTGATCTTTAAAATATTCAATTTGCGTTTAAATGGTTCATATACAGACTGACCATTAAGTTTTTTGACGGAATGATTATGTGATATCGTCTGAAAGAATGACACAGTTATATTTATGAAAAAATTTAACGAATTGTTGATTAGGGACCAACATTAAAAGTTTAGGTATCAAAATAATAAAATTAATACAATAAGCCCTAAACTAACAAAACGGACATACTTCAAGAACCAATAATATTATTAACCCTAATATATTAGATAATTTGTCTTTGGTTGAGGCTTTGTTCATTTATGGAATGCTCTTTGAGTTATGTTTTATCTTTCTAAACTTATAAACAAATTAACAATTAATGATATCTAACCAAATAGTATGTGCTCTTAGAAATGTTCATAATAACCCAAGGTTATTGTTTGTTAAAGAGTCAATAGTATGTGTTTATCTTCTTTAGAATTCTAACTACTTATACTTAAAAGTAAAGAATTCCAAGCAAAAACTTAAAAGTAAAGATTAATGTGTGCTTAAAGGAAAATTCTCATAACAATGACATTTTATTAAGAAGTGAAGGGTAATGCTTCCAGTTTTAAGTGTAAAGGTAACACTACGTAGTCGCCGTTATTAATATATTGTAACTGTTATATTTAATATTTTCTCATTCAGATAAAAAAAAAAAAACTCGGGATACCACAACGTTAAGTGTGTTATTAACAAGTAAATATTAGTTGTAACACTTACGTCACGTCAATATTGTTATATAATAATATAATCGTTTAATATTAAATTAATAAGTAGATAAAGTGACTTTATATTTTTTGTTATATAAAGGATTATTATCTTAAATGGAAGGAAAATTATTTGAACAGTACGATTCTTCTTTTTTTTTTTTTTTTTTATATTTGGTAAGTTATCATTTGACAATTAATGATACTGGGTGAGATATTAACTTAGGATAAATTATATTTTTTACCCTTAAATATTTAAAAAATTTTATTTTATACTTTTAAATAATAAATTTTTTATATTGCACTTTTAATGCATTAAAAATGCTGTAATGTGACTCTTTCATTAATTTTTATTATTCATTTTGTCAACTTCAATGGGTGGATTTTGAGAGAATAAATAATAGAAGGTAACAGTTAATTAGAATATTTTTAATATATTAAGATCATAATATAAAAAATCTCATATTTAAAAGTATGAAAGTGAATATTTTAAATTTTTGGGGGTGTAAGGTGAGATTCCAGCATTTACTGGTTATTAACACGAGGAGGAACCATGACTTAATTGCTGACTCAGACGAAAATTCCAAGAGGACTCCAAAACTGTGACGCCTTTTAACTCTCTGAAACTCCAAGCTACCTTTCCCACCTCCGTATCTATCTCTGCCTCTTTCTTAGATCTCTCTCTCTCTCACACACACACACACTTCTCTCTTCGTAACTCCAGCCAACTACCCACTTATTTCCTCCACCTCTGTACGCGCTCACTTCTACAACTCCCCTGAAACCCACAACTTTTTTCTACACAATCGGTTTTCCAACGCCGAGACAGTACGAATAAATGCACAAACAATACCGCTATCTGTTTCCATCAAGCCAGGTTTCCGATCACTCCTCACCTGAATATCATCTTATATTCTCTCAATCAAATTCACATTGGAAGCTGAGCTTAGCTAACTAAGCAGAGCCAAGCCAAAAAAGGCATGGGCTGCGTTCTCGGTACGAGTGGTTCTCGAGACACTCACCGGAGATCCTCCAGAACCACCCAATCTAGCCGGAGCATTCAAGAACCGGCGGTTTCTGTTACTGATGGCGTTAGGGTCAGGAACGACGGAGCCGTGAGGGACAGAGAGAAGATCCGGCACTCCAGCGACTTCCCGCCGACGGACCGGCAAAAATTCAAGCCGGAGTATAGTCTGAAAACAAATCAGCAAGGCTGGCCATCCTGGCTTTCCACCGTCCTCGGCGACGCCATTAAAGATTGGACCCCTAGAAAAGCAAACACCTTCGAGAAACTCGATAAGGCATTCATAAAAACCCTAAATATTTATACCAATTTGTGTGTAAACTACAATATTTTTCTTCCTATAATTGCTGACCTTATATGTAGTTTTATCTTTGTGTTGCTTAGATTGGTCAAGGGACATATAGCAATGTATATAAAGCGAGGGACTTGATAACAGGAAAGGTAGTGGCTCTGAAGAAGGTTAGATTTGATAATTTAGAGCCAGAGAGTGTGAAGTTCATGGCGAGAGAGATACTTGTTTTGAGGAAGTTGAATCATCCCAATGTGATAAAGCTTGAAGGTTTAGTAACTTCAAGGATGTCTTGTAGTCTCTACCTTGTGTTTGAATACATGGAGCATGATCTTTCTGGCCTTGCCGCGGTTCAAGGGGTCAAATTCTCGGAGCCACAGGTGATCATTAATTATTGTTGCAGAACTTTACCTCTGTGGAGGAGTAATTTTGAAGCTGAATTTACTGTTACTTTTGGATTTCATTGATTTTGCTGGCTGTGGATTCTCAATTAATAGGTAAATTTGGGTTAATTTTCAGAGATTTGATATCAATTAGCAGTTTATAAAGTTCCATCTTACTTTTGGAAGCAAAAGCATAGTAATTTTTTTGTCTCTAAAGCAATATAGAGTCTAATAGTGAAATGCCATCCAGATGGTACCCTTTTTCAAGAAAAAAATATCTTTTTGTATCTGTAAATAATGTTCTGAGGTTATGTTTGTATATTTGTCTTTTAGTTTTGATTGTTGACCTTTCTGATGCTACTGCTTGACCATTCAAGGCCATTGGGCCCATATTTAATGCCTTGTGGTTTGGGTATCCAATGTGTTTTTCACAGTTATATTCAAGGATCTATAGCTATTATTCTGATGTTTTATTGCACTATTTTGGCATGTAAATTTTCCTAGATTTTGATCTTCACGTCACTCCACTGAATGTACATGTGGAAGTCCATTTTAGACTTATTCTTGAAAATTTTCTTATTAATATTCTGCTAAAGTAGGCTTTGCTCGGGATTAGGGAGGGGTAAATTCTGGAAATGATGTTTGAAATCTGGTATCAATTTTCTTTTCTCCTTTTGGCTGCCTTTTTTCCGTCTCCCAATTGATGCAAAGTTGGTTTTTTATTGTTAATTTTTGATGTCAATTTCCACGAGTTTTAGCTGGAGAATATGTTGCAAGTTTTTTAAAAATACCGGGCTGAAACAATGGTTAAGGATTGTTTTCCTTTGCATCTGTCCTTGTTCAAGTGATTGCCCTTCTTGTTGTTGTGGTTCAGGCTGTAAACTTTGTCTGCCGTCATCCTATCCTTGAAATGACATAGCTACTTGTTTATTTCTACTTTGAAATTTATGAGCCACAACCATTACAATTCCCTCCTCCCCCTCACCCCCCCCACACACAAGAATTCCAATGTTTGAGAGGGCTATGGTGTGCTTCAAGTATTTTCTTTTGATATATTGTACGAAAATTTTATGCAAAAATGAAATATCATTCAGAAAGGACAGCTTGCGTAGAAGAATAGAATTTTCAACAGGTACTGTTCAGCATATATATACTTTTCCCCTTTTTCAATCTACAAACCTAGGAATGGATTTTTCATCCACGAAGGTGGCTAGTTTTTTTTAAGAATCATTTTGTCTGGTTGACCCCCTTTGGTTTACTAAAATTTCTGGCTGTCTATATATTCTCTGAATTGTATGTCTATATATTGTACAAATTTGAGATGCTGATTAGTCTGTAAATATGTTTCATGAGGAAGGTGAAATGCTACATGAAGCAGTTACTCTCCGGACTTGAACATTGCCATAACAATGGTGTCCTACACCGTGATATTAAGGGTTCCAATTTGCTTATTGACAATGATGGAATTTTAAAGATAGCCGATTTTGGACTGGCTTCGTTCTACGATCCTGATCACAAGCAACCATTGACTAGTCGAGTTGTGACTCTTTGGTATCGTCCCCCAGAACTTTTACTTGGGGCCACTTATTATGGTGTTGGGGTTGACCTTTGGAGTGCTGGCTGCATTTTGGCTGAGTTACTTGCTGGGAAACCAATTATGCCTGGACGAACGGAGGTAATTTATTTTATTTGCTCTGTTTGTTTTTGGGCTGCTACGGTTGACCTAAGATACAACCAATGGGGTCATTCTTTTGAATTTCAGATGCCAAACTATTGCAATAGAGTTGGTTTGGCGTTTTCTGATTCGATCCTAGAATTAACTTGGTCCAGCAATTTATGTCAAAATCCAAATCTTTTACTTTGCATCAAATCACATTTTTTAACTGAACATCTCTTTGGGATTGAATCATTGAAATGGTAAGGTTTCTGGTTTACTGAATATTTAAAATGGGTCTCACCCAATATTAGCTTCACCTATGTGGCAGTTCAGATGAATGATACTTACTGAGGGGAAAACATTCTGGATGTTCCTGTCGCCATATTGCTGGTGTATCGACAATAAGTGGGCCACGAGAGTATCTCGATGGATCACTGTTATCAGAACAAGTTGATTATATGATATCAATTCTTACAGTGATTTGTATTTTGACTCTTGTTTTTTCATTTACACCTACTAGGGGATGAAATTTGGTTCAATATTGATTTGAGGTAGAGAAATGCTCATTCTTCTGTTTGTCATTTCTGTTGAAGTTACTGGCGGTCAGGTTCAATTCATTCAATTTTAGATTCTTTGGTTTCTTAGGTTGAGCAACTGCACAAAATATTTAAGTTATGTGGCTCCCCTTCTGAGGAGTATTGGAAGAAATCAAGGCTGCCTAATGCAATCCTTTTCAAGCCACAGCAGCCATACAAGCGCTGCATAGCCGAAACCTTCAAAGACTTTCCACCTTCTCTCCCTCTGATTGAAGCTCTTCTTGCAATTGACCCTGTTGAGCGAGGCTCTGCCACTGCAGCATTAAACAGTGAAGTGAGTAGCCTTTGGTAATTGCATACTTTTGTTAAAATCAAGTAATATTATCATCTTTCTATGATTATGTTATCTATAGCTCCATGATTGGATGCTGTTTGTAATTTATAGTTACCTTTTCCTTCACTTATTTCTATAGGTCCACTATCTGATCTTTTGTACTTTATTTTTACCGTGTTTTTCACTTATAGTTTTTACAAATATTGGACAGGATTACTGTTAAAGTTTTTCGAGAACTTTAAAATGATTTATGAATTGTTCCACAAGCTGATGCTGTTTTTGGGTCATGATAACGTTGATTTCCAGTTTTAGTCTGAAATGAACTGAAGGTTATAATATAAGTATGTGAAGAATGGTAAGAAATGAAAATTTGTTGCAGGTTGTTTTCTTGTCCAATGTTGGAGATATATGTGGATATTGCAATCACTGTTTTTCCTACGCTCCAAATGAATGTGTTTTTAAGCTGAAGCACCCTGGGTGGCAATATTATCGAGTACATGCTTGAATATGTTACCACTTATAACTATTGCGCCTTCTCTAATGCCCCTATGCGCCCCTCCTCCTTAAGCCATTGAACTCCTCCTGTATGTTCCTTTCTAAGAATTAAATTTCTTTAGGGAAGTTATGTGTTTTTTTTGCGGGTGCCTTGGAGTGGGGGATATGCTTGATAATTATTCAATTCTTGCAAAATCATTATCTGCCGGGGTGCATGCTCAAAAGTAGCTCCAGCAGTGGAAAACTCACCAGCAACCTTAGAGGTGCAGCCAAATTGATTTGTCTTATTTTACCTCGTTGCCTATCTCTCTCTCTCTCTCTCTCTCTAACAAACGTGCATTAGCTATTTAAATTGTTTGCTGGGTTACGTCAGTAGTTTTATTTGTGTCTAACCTCAAGGTTACTTCTTGCTTGTGGTACTCTGTTTCTTGTTTGGCAATAGATAAATACAGCTCTGAGGCTCTTTTCTCCACCCCAATCGCAATGTATGTGTTTCAAGGTTTTTTTATTGGAGCGATTCATTGAACCTGTGTATTTTTGGTATACAGTTCTTTACAATGGAACCTTATGCTTGTGAGCCATCAAGCTTACCGAAATATCCTCCCAGCAAGGAAATGGATGTGAAATTGAGAGATGAAGAAGCCAGAAGGTATTACATCTGGCATTGACAATTTCTTAGACCAGTCTTATTCTTATGCTCACATATTATTTCCTCTCCTTAATAGGCAAAGAGGTTTGAACAAGAAAACCAACGCTGTAGATGGTGCCAGAAGAGTGAGAGTTCGCGATAGAGTTAGCCGGGCAATTCCAGCTCCAGAAGCCAATGCAGAGGTCCAAGCAAACTTGGATGTATGTGTGATAAATATTACGTTAACACATAACCTTGAAAATGCCAAGTTCGTTTATCACCTTTTCCGCATGATGTTGCATTTATTTGATTGTATTGGGGGTGGGCAATACCATTAGGCAAGCCAGACCAAGCCACTAGCTTGGGGTTTATAGTTGGTTGGCCATTTATTACATTTTTTTCTTCTTTTTGGGGGATCAACTTGGTACATAATAATCTTTGTTGCCAATTGTCTTTGATATTGTTCCAAAAAGTGTCAGAATTCTTTTGCCATCATCAGAGTTGGGGTAGTGAGATCATTTCATCTAGTTAGATTTTAATGGAAGACTCAATGGGTTGAAGGCACTAGACTCACAAATAGGAGCGTTCATGTGATCCCTGGTTACCATAAATGGAAGTTGTGCATTTTGTTGCTTCTTTATGATTTTTCTTATTTTATTTTTCTCATTGGTGTTGGGTGTTTAAATTCTGAGTGGTTATTTTAACGTCACTCAGTAGCTCCTCAATGCTTGTATATATAGTTTCTTCCTCGTTTTTCTGTTATATTGATTGCTTTATTTATTGATTATCTCCAGAGGTGGAGAGTCATGACACAAGCTAATACTAAGAGCAAGAGTGAGAAATTCCCACCTCCCCATCAGGATGGAACAGTTGGATATCCTTTGGAGACATCACATAATGGCCCCGTGTCATTTGGTGCACCAGAAACTTCTTTTAGCTCATCAATCTTCGATGCAAAATCATCACGATCTGTGAAAGGTACCGCAACCACCGGTGGGCCTTCAAGGAGGAGAAACACCAAGAAAGAAGAACCTCAGATGGCTCCATCTCGAAGGTTTATCCGTGCGTTTATTCCATCCACAATTGGGCTGCCACTTGATCTGAGATTCAAGGGTAAAGAATCAGTGTCTGAGATTTTTGCCGGTCACAGGTAGTGAAAAGTAATGCAACTTTTTTTTTTTTTTTTGGATAAGGTGTTTCTCTCTCCCCCCTTTGTTCTTCAGATGCATTTTTTGTTCATTACTGTTTCACATTTTTTGAACTTTGTCATTATAAGTGCTTGGTATATAACCCAACACGAGGAATCTCAACGGCAATTGGTGTACAATTGACAAAATGGAATCCCACTTCTAATGTACAGTTCTAGTTCTGGTGCCAGCCATATCTACATGAAAAGTACTAGCTTGTGCAAATGTTCTCTAGCTATAAATCACCTTCTCTGCTGCTCTCATAATTTTTCTTTTGGGATTGAAGTCATGGCACTCTGCAAAAATGTAGTTTCTTCAAGTGTTTCGGTGTTTTGTATTTGACTTTGTTGACATAAAAATACATGCCTCTTTGTTTGAATCACTGACATTCGGGTAGACCAGCAAGACTGGAATTCTGAAGAAAAGGAATGTCTAATTTTTCCTATTCTAGTTTGGGTTCTTGCTCGGGATAAATCTCATCACTTTGAGTTAGTCTTGCCCATGCCTTGACAAGGCTCTTGCCCCTCCTACCCGTAGAGGGGGCCGGAATTACACCTTTGTATGACAAGATTGATTGATAGAAGGATCCATCTTGTTAGTTTTTACTGCAATTGAAAAGTCCATCAAAATATTGAATTCTAGTGTTTTTTAGAAGCAGTAGTCCTGTATGGTCACAGTAAGGTTGGCGCAACGGTAAGGTGGTTTTGTTGTGATTTGGAGGTCACAGGTTTGAGTCATAGAACCAATCTTTCTACTTGTTGAGGTAAAATTGCATACATCTACTTCTCTTTAGACCTTGCAATGGCGGGAGTCTCACTGGGTACGCCCAGTCCTGTAGGATGTAAGGTCTCACTGCCATAGTGTCCTACACTGATAGCTTTTGGTCATGATGCCAACATGAGAGACTTGGTTTGTCTTTCAAAAACTATTTCCTAATATCTATCAGTTAAATTCAGTCAAGGTAATTAGCGTGGGTCTTTTCCTCGGATTTAAAAAGGCTACAGCAATTTTTTTCTTTTTCTTCATCTACTGAAAAGTTTGGGAGGATAGAAACTGCTAGAATTATCTTCATCCTGTTGCTTAGTATTTCGGCATTCTATTGTACATTCTCCGACAATTCGCATAAACTGATTCCAGGTTTGTGTGTCATAGATAGTTCTGAGTCACCTATCATCCAGTAGAATCATAGAATATACCACAATGAACACACCTGTATACGTGAATAGGGCTGTGAACGAAGTTGGGTTGTTGTGTTTTTAAGCACGTGCCAGTTTTTCCAACTCATATCCGGNTTTTTTTTTTTTTTTGGATAAGGTGTTTCTCTCTCCCCCCTTTGTTCTTCAGATGCATTTTTTGTTCATTACTGTTTCACATTTTTTGAACTTTGTCATTATAAGTGCTTGGTATATAACCCAACACGAGGAATCTCAACGGCAATTGGTGTACAATTGACAAAATGGAATCCCACTTCTAATGTACAGTTCTAGTTCTGGTGCCAGCCATATCTACATGAAAAGTACTAGCTTGTGCAAATGTTCTCTAGCTATAAATCACCTTCTCTGCTGCTCTCATAATTTTTCTTTTGGGATTGAAGTCATGGCACTCTGCAAAAATGTAGTTTCTTCAAGTGTTTCGGTGTTTTGTATTTGACTTTGTTGACATAAAAATACATGCCTCTTTGTTTGAATCACTGACATTCGGGTAGACCAGCAAGACTGGAATTCTGAAGAAAAGGAATGTCTAATTTTTCCTATTCTAGTTTGGGTTCTTGCTCGGGATAAATCTCATCACTTTGAGTTAGTCTTGCCCATGCCTTGACAAGGCTCTTGCCCCTCCTACCCGTAGAGGGGGCCGGAATTACACCTTTGTATGACAAGATTGATTGATAGAAGGATCCATCTTGTTAGTTTTTACTGCAATTGAAAAGTCCATCAAAATATTGAATTCTAGTGTTTTTTAGAAGCAGTAGTCCTGTATGGTCACAGTAAGGTTGGCGCAACGGTAAGGTGGTTTTGTTGTGATTTGGAGGTCACAGGTTTGAGTCATAGAACCAATCTTTCTACTTGTTGAGGTAAAATTGCATACATCTACTTCTCTTTAGACCTTGCAATGGCGGGAGTCTCACTGGGTACGCCCAGTCCTGTAGGATGTAAGGTCTCACTGCCATAGTGTCCTACACTGATAGCTTTTGGTCATGATGCCAACATGAGAGACTTGGTTTGTCTTTCAAAAACTATTTCCTAATATCTATCAGTTAAATTCAGTCAAGGTAATTAGCGTGGGTCTTTTCCTCGGATTTAAAAAGGCTACAGCAATTTTTTTCTTTTTCTTCATCTACTGAAAAGTTTGGGAGGATAGAAACTGCTAGAATTATCTTCATCCTGTTGCTTAGTATTTCGGCATTCTATTGTACATTCTCCGACAATTCGCATAAACTGATTCCAGGTTTGTGTGTCATAGATAGTTCTGAGTCACCTATCATCCAGTAGAATCATAGAATATACCACAATGAACACACCTGTATACGTGAATAGGGCTGTGAACGAAGTTGGGTTGTTGTGTTTTTAAGCACGTGCCAGTTTTTCCAACTCATATCCGGTTACCATAATCGTGTATAATCAAATTTGTGTTATATGAAATTCGTGGCTTATATCACTCATAAGCTCGAATTCATGTCAGTTCATTTACATGACATGCTTGATAGATTCAACCATATATCACCCAAAACCATTGAGGTTAAGCTTCAAGCCACTAAATTCGTGTCAGTTTTGTGTTAGGGTTGTTGGTTGGGTGTAAAATTGCGAGGTCTATTAAGGTGAAGGATGCGAGAGTGAGGCACCACACAGTTGAGGAGCAGAGGGGTTGTAATCATTCATCTCAATGAAACAGTTAAGGCCGAAGACCATGCCGGACACCAGCTTCAGATCCGCTACCACCACCGCCAATGCAGTGTTGTCATTCAGCAAAGAGGACTTGCCAGCATAAAGATGTTGAGAATGACAACACTGAATTAGAAAACAAACAAATGAACGATGCCTTGTTTCTTTCAGCCTCCCAAAATACTTAGTTCAATGTCATTTTCCAAGCTATCACTCTCCAAGATATGACTTAACAAAAAACAAGGAAATGTTAGAAATTTAGTATTTTTCCATATGTATTTTGATATTACACGGGAAGAGTGGATCTGTTAATCCAAGCTGTTAAGAAAAGGGAAAAAAACACCAACACAGGTGGGTGAAGAATTACTTTCATACACAAGGAAATACCACAAGAACCAAAATTTTGCCTGATGTTCCCACTAATTCTAAGCAGTTGCAGCCATTGAACCTGATCTGTAGCAAGTCCTCTTTGCTGCACGAACTATGTCCTCAACCTGTGGAATGTATCCCCAGCACAGAAGAAAATAGAATGGATGAGAAGGATGGTTTCAATCAGCAATCTAAAGAAACTAGAAGATGTGGAAGAGATCGTGATCAGAAAAAAAAGGAAAAGATGAGGAAGAGATCATTCGAGTATAATACACAATCATTAAATCTTTTTCTTCCCAGGTTTTTTTCGTTATATTATAGATATTATAGGACATAATGGTCTTCCATGTGGGCCTGGTGCTCTGTGTATCAGGAATAAATCTTCTCAAGTTTACTCCAACCAGATATGTTGTCTGATAATTCATTCAAAACAAAAGAAAAAAATATCTGGAAGCACGAACCTGTGGGACAGCCATCCTCTCAAGATTTGCAGCGTAAGGCATTGGGACATCAGCCCCTGCGATCCTCTCAACAGGGGCATCAAGATACTCAAAGCTTTCCTCAAGAATAGACGCACTGTTGAAGGAATACATTTCATGGTAAACACAAATGGAAATAGGAGAAAAATATGCGTGGAGATAGAGAGAGAATTATTGGATTAATAATGAAAAAAAGGCAACCAGATCTCAGCGCCAACACCATGTTGTGGGAACCCTTCTTCAACAGTTACAAGCCTGTTAGTTTTTCTGACAGAAGCATTGATTGTCAATCTATCAAGGGGACGAATTGAGCGCAGATTTATAACCTGATATCAGAAAGTATAGGAACAATTCATTCAGTTAAGGACAGAGGCGTACTTTTAAGCTTTAAAACTGTTATGCAGATCCAGATGGAGAAGCACATTTGCAATGTTTCATTTACCTCTGCACTAATTCCTTCATTTGCAAGAATCTCGGCTGCCTATATAAGACACAGTTGAGTTAGTTTCAGATAAAAAATTAGGATATTAGAAGACTTTAGGACAGTAAGAATAATAACTAGAACAAGCATAATTGTCTTTCGAGATGAATTAATCAATGTTGCACGGCCCATGCATAGGAACACCAACAAGTTCATTTATGACCAAATCTGAAGACCATACTCTCCTTTCCCAAACCTAAGATACAAAAATAGTAAATCTTAAGTTCAAATTCAAGAGTGTCTACAGTTCTAACATGGAAAACACAAGCACAACTTACTTCAACCAATGGCGAGTGACTGGTGCAGCCGCTGGAACATAGTTTATAAGATAGATTTTTGTACAAACTAAAGTGTTTGTAGACGTGATACTTTCGGCACTAGCTTAATATTACATGTACTAGAGTATTGCTAACCAAATGCCTGATATGGCACCACAGGATTCATAACTCGAAGCTTGGATACTGGGCATTGTGAGTGAAGCTTTTCACTGTGAACAGGATCATTCTGTGATTCCTGATGTTAGAAGTGCCATTTCTACAGCCAAAATTTGGTACACAAAAAGATGTGATTTCATCGAGCTTACTTTGGTACTAAACTAATTGACAGTGAGCATCCCCAATGAATAAGATTAGAGTTTCATGCACAAGAAGATTCTGATAGATTCATCATTATAAAGTGCTCATTCTGGCTGCGGTAAGTGTAGATGTTCATGTAGAGCATATGGACAAACTACATTGTCTACCATAAGAGCATGCATAACTCATGTTTTACTCGAACAGAACACTCCAGTCATTAATAGATTGGTTCTGATACTGCTTAAGAAACGAATGACAAACCTGGAGAGCATAGCCAACCATCTTTGAGAAAGCCGTAATGGTCACATCCTTTCCTTCCCGTTCTATCTGATCAATATTTGGGAAGTGAGGAAGAAGATAATAGTAAATCAAGTAAAGAAACAATAATGGTGAGTTCAAGAGAAAATGCCTTGGCTTTCCCTATTGGAAGACTGAAACTAGAATCAAGAGCTTCAGCTGAAACAGGGAAGGACTCACCATATCTGAAATCACCTCACGAAAGATAAAATGAACACCAGTACTTTAACTGAGCAAACCAAAGTCACTACAATCATATTTTACTAATGTACTCACAGCAACTCATTTTCTAGGAAAACAACAGGGTCTGGGTCCCTTATAGCAGCTTTTAGAAGACCCCGAGCATCCTCTGATGAGTATGGAGTAAGCACCTTTAACCCTGGACATGAACCAAACCATGCTGCATAGCACTGCAAGAGAAAGGGGAGCTGAGAAGATTGAAGATTGTGCAGAATTTGACCTTGTGATATTCTTCAAGAAAGAAAGTCTTAACCATAAGCAAAGAAAGAAAAAAGATTATGAATGTAACTGAGAAACAAACAATACAATGACCCATAAACCATGTTATATAGCAAACTGCTGATAAAACACTTATATTGTTAACACGACATTATGACACAAAACAATGTCAAAAAATCAATAATGCCTCATTTTCCTCAATAAAAATGCTCATTATTAGGTTGGTCTGCTTGGGCATTTATGGGAACACTGCTTTGATATCAGCACACAACGATCACCAACTATGGCCAATGAGAGTGTTATCCCAACTGCAACTTCTATGCAGCTCCCCATCAGGACATCATTTTTGAATCTAACGCCTCTTCAAATAAATATCTCATGGAAGCATCTACATATTAGATATCAGTTTATCCTCACAATGTGGCACTTGCTAGCAACCACCTTTGTCCACGGCCATTTTCCTGATACATTCTGATAAAAGACCTCTAGATTCCTAGCCCCAAGCCTACTTCCATAAGATTAAAGATTTTCTTCCAACCACCACAACACCCAAACTGAATTCCCTTTGCAGTTTCTCCAATTTCTTGGCCACAGAGGCTGAGGTATGAAAAAGGACACCAAAGCTAGGTCTCATACTTCCATTTTCCTATCGCTGTCACTCAGCTCAAGGGACCAGCATGTGGCTACACTTAATTTCTGCATCCCATTATCTCCATTAGAAAGCTAAATTTGAAAAGCAATGATTCATGAAACTAAAATCTGATTTGCAGAATACACATCATGTCTTGTGCAGTATCAACCAAATCTAAGCAGCATGTAGAAGAAGGATGTAATCATGTCATGAAGGCCATCGAGATAAAATCCACACCTGGGAATGCTGAGCACCAACTCCGGCAGCAGCACCATTTGGTCCTCTGAAAACAATAGGCACGGATATTTGACCAGCAGACATGTAATTTGATTTTGCAGCAGAATTAATGATATGGTCAATTGCCTGCAACAAAATTCGAAGTTTAAATCATTAGCAGCTATGCCTGAATGGACAAAATCTTCAAATTACATTGGCTATAAAGGTGCTTTCAATTGGGACATATATGAGTAACATAAGCAGTTGTGCCTCAATGATTGTTATCTAGAATTCATCTTTTTGACACCAAAAGATGATATGTTTACAAACAACGATCAGATTAGGCATCTGGTAACAAAGGTTTTTAAAGTGCCAAGCATGCAAACATGTTTGAACATGTCTTGTCCTTGTCCTTTTATCATCGTGTGTATTCTTTTGCAGAGGAAACTACTCGACTTCCATCCACGGAAATTCCCCCTTAGTTGTAAGGAATTCAAATTCCCTTTGGCTAAACCATCTGCCTAAGCATTAGTCTTGAGATCCAACCCATATCCAACAGCAAACTCAAAATAAAAATCTCCAATTTCAGGTATCTAGTGCCTTGCTGCAACCAACCTAAAGTGATTCATGTACAACTTTGGGAAGAGTTATGGCTGAACCAACCCACCAGTGCTACCACCTTCATTTGGTCCAAAGCTAGGCAGCACCAGTTAGCAACCACTGTGAATCACTTGATTTGTTGTGGATCCACGCAAAGTTGGAGAATGGCACAATTTTAGGGTGCAAACATGAAACAAAATGGCACACACCCAGAAGATGACCGGGAATGAAGTCATAATAACCCAACAATACTTATTCGTGAAAAATATCAAATACAGTTTTTGACTAAAAGCCATGATTTGACCGAGTGAGGAAAATCAAATTGTTGAGGGGTCATTTTGATATTTGACATAGCAGATTTATGATTTATCACACTGGAACCCTCTACTACTGAGTCCCAATTCTCTATCAGTACTCTGCATTTAGCATAATCAACTGTATATTACACATGCAATCTCAATTTCCAAAACAAAATAAATAAGAAATGTTAAACCATTCTTTTCTGATAATATGCTTTTCATTTATTTGTCCTATAACGTATGACTAGTAAAGCATAGAAGGTGTCATGCCACTCCTCCATAAGCATGCAACAATTTATGCTAGAGTTGTTTTGCACATTGAGACTTGAGGCCCAAGCACTTTTCTCTACTTCTAATATGAGTATTGACAGTGTAACACTAGGAGACAATATGTCAAAATTACTTTTTCCCTTTAAAGATCAAGCTCAATATAAATGCAGTAAATTCTATTAAATATGCACCTTTGACACATCTAACTCGTTGAATATGTTAGACACTCTGAAGAATTAAGTTTAAAGAAAATCAGGCAGTGCAAATGTAAAGTATATTCCGTAATTTCTTAATGGCACGTACCCTACTCATTTTAGAACATTGCAAATACAAAAGTAATTTTTGCTATAAATAGATGGCACAATAGATCCAGTATGGTTGAAGAGTTCTTGGGACAAGATTTATACACCAATGTGCGTTTCTAATCCATTAAAAAGCAAGATCTGCAGACAAAAACTCTGACCTGCATTGAAAAGTTAAATGTCATAAATTCTACAACAGGCTTCAAACCATAGTAAGCAGCACCCACTCCAATCCCAGTGAAGCCCGCCTACAACATTTGGACATGGTTAGAGGCAAATTTTTGCAAGGCTGTACAAGTCTATCATATTGTAACCAAATATAAACAAAAAAAATAAAATAATGGGCAGAATAGAAAGGTAAAAAATGGGTGGCCAGTATACGAGGCTCCTGCCACTGCGAGGACGGAGGCTCAGAAGTCCGCAACCTTACCCCCACGCGGAGAGTTATTTCCGCGACTCAAACCATTGACGCCTAGGTCACAATGGAACAACCTTACTGTTGTGAACCCATCACAATCGAAAACAAAAGAGCTTGTATATTTCTTCAAGTATAAGGAGCAACCTCTGTAATGGGAGTATCAATAACCCTATCGGGACCATATTTCTCCAAAAGCCCTTTGGAAATCTGAGATAAAAAGTCAAACATAAAAACCAACTTTTAGAGAAGACGAAATGGACAAGTATGGGCAGTCTTTATATTTTGAAGAGATTGAGGTCACATCTCAGTGAGCATTTTTTACCTTGTATGCACCCTGATATTCGCCAACCTTCAAATTTCGACCAATAAATATGTCAGAAACACACATAAAATACACACAAGATGGGAACAAAGAATTGAAAAAAATACTAATGCTTCCATAATACCTCTTCACCCATTAAAAAGACTTTAGGATCTGCAGACATTTCTTCATCAAGTGCTGAGTTCAAAGCATCACGCACTGTCATCTGCAAGAAATAGCACTGCCATATATTAAATTGCAATAAAGAAACAATATAAAATGCTACAGTGCACACAATGGATCCATACAAAGAACCAAGAGGGAGATGGAGCATTATTTGATTTCCTGCTTATGCTAGGAAGGAGGAGAAATAAGATGATAACTAAATCCAACCTAATCAACACTAACTTGGACTAATTCAATGAAACATCATATTTTCATGCGAAAATGACAAAAAAAAAAAAAAAAAGATGAGAAAGAGGTCCCTACCTAAGAACTCGTAACATATAAGTTAAAAAATACATAGGAGAACACTAATTTTTTATATCACACAGTTTCAAGCATTGGAAAACCATACCCAAACCAAATGACATAATGAAAAATAAGAAGCAGCTTAGGAGTATCAACAAGTTGAACAAATGAGATAATTTCTAAAGACAGAGTCATGGAAAATGCCATAGCAAAACCTAATCATTTTTGAGTTTGTTCCTTGGAAGCACGGAAAAAATACGAAATATGAATACAATATGACACGGAAACGGCAATACGGAAGAACTTAAGAAACAAGGATATTGATAAGATTAGACTGTCCATAACAATTTCTTTCATATTTATAATATTACACCAATTTAATAATCATAACTTTCAGTAAATTCTTTAATAATAATTTTAAAAAAAATTGCCAAAAAAAAAATATAGATTATGCCGTAATGGTAAACCCACAAAGTAAATGTGGCTAATCAAAGGAACCAAAATCAACATCCACTTGTTCACTTGCCTAGCAGCAGTTGTTTCCAAGAGATTAGCATAATCAACCCTTTTCATCCTCTTTTGACATGTCGTAGTAGACAATATTTAAGGAATAAGCACATGTCCAAAATTAAAACTTATTGATATTGCTCTACCTATCGACTTTTGTATATGAAATTTATTCGTCTTAGATACTCATGTCTGAGACACATTCAAAAACAAATAAATATTGTGCATAACCAATAATATAATAGAGTATTCAACGTGTATCGCACCCAATACGAATCAAGATAACGATATTTTGATCAACACGGAAGGTCCATGCCTCATAGATTGACAATAATGAGCTCTTCAATTTCTTAAATGATTATTTACAAGTCTCCAAATAGAAGGAATTTGGATAAACGTTAACAACAAAATAACTACATACGTATAAATCAAAATTAAGCACCTCTTTTGCTGTAGATGAGTAATTCCTCAAGGCATAACCTACGGGCCGAATCGGAATCCTCTGTAAGGACTGCTCCAAAATCTTATACAGACAAATATGTAACAATGTGCGTTAGAAAGTTTAAACAGTTTCGAAAATCCAATTGAGCTAAAAAAAATTCAATTACACAGAAAAACAAACAAAACAAAACACAAAAACAAATAAAATAAAACACGCGACTAAGAACTAATAATAGAAAAGTTCAGCTTCTAACCGAAGCAGGAATGCTTCTGCAGGCGACCCTTTGCCTTATAATTCCCCACATATCTCCTTCTTCACGGCTTNAAAAAAAAAAAAAAAAAGATGAGAAAGAGGTCCCTACCTAAGAACTCGTAACATATAAGTTAAAAAATACATAGGAGAACACTAATTTTTTATATCACACAGTTTCAAGCATTGGAAAACCATACCCAAACCAAATGACATAATGAAAAATAAGAAGCAGCTTAGGAGTATCAACAAGTTGAACAAATGAGATAATTTCTAAAGACAGAGTCATGGAAAATGCCATAGCAAAACCTAATCATTTTTGAGTTTGTTCCTTGGAAGCACGGAAAAAATACGAAATATGAATACAATATGACACGGAAACGGCAATACGGAAGAACTTAAGAAACAAGGATATTGATAAGATTAGACTGTCCATAACAATTTCTTTCATATTTATAATATTACACCAATTTAATAATCATAACTTTCAGTAAATTCTTTAATAATAATTTTAAAAAAAATTGCCAAAAAAAAAATATAGATTATGCCGTAATGGTAAACCCACAAAGTAAATGTGGCTAATCAAAGGAACCAAAATCAACATCCACTTGTTCACTTGCCTAGCAGCAGTTGTTTCCAAGAGATTAGCATAATCAACCCTTTTCATCCTCTTTTGACATGTCGTAGTAGACAATATTTAAGGAATAAGCACATGTCCAAAATTAAAACTTATTGATATTTCAACCCTTTTCATCCTCTTTTGACATGTCGTAGTAGACAATATTTAAGGAATAAGCACATGTCCAAAATTAAAACTTATTGATATTGCTCTACCTATCGACTTTTGTATATGAAATTTATTCGTCTTAGATACTCATGTCTGAGACACATTCAAAAACAAATAAATATTGTGCATAACCAATAATATAATAGAGTATTCAACGTGTATCGCACCCAATACGAATCAAGATAACGATATTTTGATCAACACGGAAGGTCCATGCCTCATAGATTGACAATAATGAGCTCTTCAATTTCTTAAATGATTATTTACAAGTCTCCAAATAGAAGGAATTTGGATAAACGTTAACAACAAAATAACTACATACGTATAAATCAAAATTAAGCACCTCTTTTGCTGTAGATGAGTAATTCCTCAAGGCATAACCTACGGGCCGAATCGGAATCCTCTGTAAGGACTGCTCCAAAATCTTATACAGACAAATATGTAACAATGTGCGTTAGAAAGTTTAAACAGTTTCGAAAATCCAATTGAGCTAAAAAAAATTCAATTACACAGAAAAACAAACAAAACAAAACACAAAAACAAATAAAATAAAACACGCGACTAAGAACTAATAATAGAAAAGTTCAGCTTCTAACCGAAGCAGGAATGCTTCTGCAGGCGACCCTTTGCCTTATAATTCCCCACATATCTCCTTCTTCACGGCTTAATTTAACCCTAACAAAGAATTCAATATTACTAGTAAACAATTCAACATTAGTAATCAGATTCTAGATCAATGAAGTCGGTGATCACGAATCTCCATATCACAGCCATTGAGCAGAAAATAGACAAATATGCACACAGAAATGCAAGTAGCTATGTACCAGATAACAGAGCAAATTAAACAGACGTGAATCAAGAAGAGCAAGATTCTGAATTCACTCAATAAGTAAGAGTGTGTGTGTGTGTGAGAGAGAGAGAGAATGAGAGAGAGAGACGCTAGACCTGGTTGATATTGATGGTCTAGGTTACGTGAGCTTGAAGACTGGAGGCAAGCCAGAGATCGAATATCACCTCAGAGAAAAGCGACTGGAAAATCAGCGGCTCCGAATAAGTCCTGCGTTTTGTTATTTATTTCATTTTTTTTTTTTAGGGACTGATATGCATTTCTTATGACTTATTATTTTTTGGATTAATTACAACCGTGACCCCAATTTATGCATTCTGTGTCATTTTGGTCCCTAACCTATCAATTTCATCATATTAGACCCTAATGTTTTCAATTTGATTTTAAATAGTCTCCACCCACAACGCCGTCATAAATTCTGTTGGTTTTTTGTTATGTATCGATCACGTGTCTTACTATGGAGGTAAATTGATAAATATAATGTAATTGATGAATTGTGGACTAAAATGATACAAAATACATACATTAGGGACTATGTATACCTGCAATTAAATAAAAAGTGATAATGTGGGCTGTTTCAATAAAATTAAGTACAAAATTTTCATTTAAAATACAAAAAACTATGTATAGAAATAGAAAAATTAAAAAAAACAAATTATTGGACAAAGCAGTGGACTTGCGCTTTTAGATCATATTGGTATTTTTTTTTGATTGATTGAGTTACAATTTGAAAATTTAATGATCTTTTTAAGGTATAAAGTGTTATTTATCCTTATTTTTTCTAGGTATTTATGATGACCTCTTGGTTTATCTTTCTTTTTTTTTGTTTTTGTTTTTAACTTTTTTTTCTCTTTGTTTTTTTTTTAGTTCGACGGTAAGATATGTTGGAGCCAACTTACATACAGACTAATCATCTCTCCTATCCGATTAAAGATAGGTCATCTATGTCGAAATTAAAAAATTTATGAGGGATAAATCTCTCATGACGTGACTCAAAGAAATTACCAAATATTTGAACTCATGCGGTCTAATTTTTTTCCTCTTTGTTGGTGTAGAGGTAGAGCTCTTTAATTTGGCATTTTATGGCACACATGGTTTACTAATGTTGGAAATTAATAAGGTTCAGTTCCCCTTCCAATTCTACCAAAAGAAAAACTCAAAACTCACCCAAGAAGTTCAATTTCTTCTTGAGCATGAAACAGAATCAATGCTCAAGAAGAGCATTGTCTTTAGAGATGACAAGTACGAAATATGAATACATTAAGTGAAACACATAAATTGTATCGAATATTAACAACCTTCTTTGAAAAAATTAAAATGGCCGGATTTGTAGAGATGACAAATGCCCATTTACCTAAATAATAGTCTTGAGTTCGAATATTACATCTAAACCCTTTTCAGTATACTCTTATATTTTATTATAGACGTCATATGAATATTCAAGCTAACATTGATTCACCATGCTTGTATTTATAAGCCATGCAACTCCTGATGTCACACAGTAAAATTGAACAGATCAAATATTTCTCCCCGAGTGACCTTAGCTAGATCTAATTTGTCAACTGAGGATTAACGTCCACTGTATCAATCCGAATGTCAATCCAATAGCATCAATAAATCACGTAAACAAACTAAATTCAAATAATGTTATTAGTTTTTCCTTGGATCAACATTAAAGACGGTCTATCCAAGACATATAAATCTTCCTGTCCTTGTAGCAAAAAAAATTGGAGACGAAAACTGCCAAAGAGGTGGAAAGCCCAGAAGAAAAAAGTGATGGTTATCTTCTTTCTTTCCCAGTAAAATTAAGCAGGTGTTTTTCCCAGAAGAAGACGGGTTCGGTCATGGGCGGAGATACTTGTATTATATATATATTTTTGGCTACAGAGTGTCTATATTTACACCGATTACCACGACCGGACATTTAATAGATTCTTCCCCCTTTTAAAACTCCTCCTTTTTCTTCCTTTCTTCACTTTCTTGGTCTGAGAGACCTGTAAGTAAGACAACATGACAACATATATAGGAGGTAATAATAGATATTCTGTTGTGATCGTGCAACAATTATGGTGAATAATAAGGAATCAAATAATTAAGAAAGCAAGAAAAAATAATACACAGAGATTTACGTGGTTCGACAATGTGCCTACACCCACGAGAGCGAACGACCGTTCTTTTTCATTATTAAAAATATGGTTACATCTTAAGTATTTATATAACCCTAATACGGACGTATTTACAAAAATACTCCTGTACCATACCGCGAGGGCGTTGCCCCGGCACCCCCAACTAATCAGCGTCCCCTTTATACAAATCCTGCAAGGCAGATACCGTTGCAGGTTTCGTTTCACTCCACTCCGCCCGCTCCGACATCTGTCTCCTTGTTATTGTGCACACAACATATATGAGCCACACATACTCTAACATAGTCAAATGTGCATTGGCAGCAGATCTTAATTACCATGCATGGTTGCGTGATTTCATTATTCATATTGGTTACTTAATAAGAATATGCAGCAAATTCATTTGGTAGATGAGTTTTGTTTGGATTAGGAACTATAAGGTTGTGAGTTTGAAAATGAATACAAAAAGTTTATTGAGGATTACCATGGGTTAGTAAATACGTGAGAGGATTGTTAATACACGAGTGATCGAATCATGTCAAAATCTATTCAATTCACATTCGACACATTTATAATCATATATATATTTGTTGGAATGTTGTATAAATCGTATTTAAGTGAATTTATTTCAATACATATATTTGATGAAAACTATCATTTTGACATAATTTGAGAACATAATTCAATATAACAATTGGATTAAAAGTGAATATTAGAACTCACAATTAATTCAATAATTGTATCGAATTAAGTCCCTATAATGTTACTATTGCTTGATGAATTCAAAATATCCCCTCATTTAGTATCCGAACCAACGAAGATTAAATTCAAACTCAGTTAATTCTATACGGATTTGATAAAAGTTACCTCAGGTAATGCAGCATCTTCACTTTGAGAGCTAATGTTTAAACCATTGTCCTTACCTGCATTGCATAATCTCTGTTCAATGAGAAGAACAAAAATGTCTCACTACCCTATGCAATTATGTATAAACAGTTTTTTTTTTTTAACCATATGTATGAGCAGTTGAAAGTTCCTCAGTTTTGATGGCTTCTATCGGACTTTTTTATCTAATCAAAGGTATCCGAATTAGATTACGTATTTTTCATTGCATTAGTTACTCACCATCACCATCATCCCCGTCTTTCAAATTATCAAGGAAATACACTCTGAAACTCGGTGAGCCTGGAAAATTTTCACCTTCCTGATGGCTGATCATCCTCTCGTCATCGTCCTCAGTATCTCCATCAACCCCTTCCTCAACCTTAACCTCGTCCTTGGCCACATAAACTGTTTTCTTCTCTCTCACTCCATCCCTTCCTTTCGTCCTCGAGCTTCCATCCTTGCCTGACGACGCTTCCGTTGCTTTGTTCGCCTCTCCTTTAGAACCCTCAGACGTTACGCAGCTCTCAGTGTCCTCCGGAAAAGATAAACTTTTCCTGGCATTCCTGGACACAGTTTGATGATTTGAAACATTTTCATCATCTTCTCCACCAAAATGCACGAGCAATGTTTTCCTAGAAGGGGTGGTGTCTTTCAATTTCCGAGAAGTCCTTCGTCTTCTTATCTCCTCTATCCGACGGATAAAGAGGGGGTGACGTCCTGGGGGTCGAATTGTTACTCCGGTGGCGTCGGACTTCGAAAGCCCGCATCCCATCGGATATGTAAAAGAGTGGGAGAGAGGAGCAGGTCAAGATGGAGGGCTAAGAAACAGACACAAAAAATGGGTGGCGAAGAACACAAAACATAATGAATGAGATTTGAGGATTTAAATTGAGGGGCCTAACGTTAATTTTGGTCAGGTAGTAGGACTTGCTAAATTTCTGGAAGTGATCAATGGCAGATTATGAAGCTGTGTTTGACTCAGTTTGAATCTCCTGATATTCTTGGAACATATTTCTAATATTACAACAACACAATAATAGGTAAGCATTGATCAAACTTTTATTTAGACTTCTAGATGTGTAGATGGTGTAGGATGAAAAGAGTTTATATAAAAAAATATCTTATTCATACTCAATTTGTTTATTAATATGTATCAAACGAATCTTGTCATATCAAATTTTTTTCATGTATTAATTATCTATAACAGGTATATAAACAAGTCATATCATATATTTTTTTTGAGTTGTTTTACCCAATGTTAATGTTAGGTTTGTTTATTAATCGTGCCGGGTCGGGATGACTTAAAAAACTTAAACCCTCTAATTTTGTGTCATGTTAACAAGTCGTGTGATATTTTGATACTCTTATTTTTATTTATTTCGATCCAATGGTACAATATTCATCTCAATTCCCCCCTTCCCACAAAAAAAAAAAAAAAATTATTTTTTGCACTACCTTCCCAGACAACTCAATCAACACATTTACAACCTCACTAATTCACACGTCTCTCTTATTTTCTCTGTATTCATTTTCATTTTAAATTGCGTAATTAAATAAAAAAATAAAATAAATTATTATTTAAAATATTAATATTGTACAATCAATATTCGAATTTTTTTTTTGTATTGGAGAGTGATTTTAGACACACATAATTGCTAGTATATATAAAAATGTTATGTTTAGGTACAGTAGATTATTCTTTTAAGTCAAATTTTGCTTCCTTTTTTTTTTTTTTTTTGTTCTAGTGGAAAACTCGGTTATTCATCTGGGTCAACATTGAAAACTAGAAGCTACGTTAAAAAGGATATTGGGTAGAAAGAATTACCGGTCGACCAATTTGAGGACTCGATCGACCGACGAATAAAGAATTTTTGAATAAAAACTTAATTGACTGATTGATTTGTGACTCTGATCAACCGATGTTGGCAAACGGAGACATCAGACGACATTATTTTTATAATTTTTTATTTTTGGTAATTTTTATAGTATTAGAGATTTTTGTCCGTTTTAGAGATGTTTAGACTTTTAGGGGTTCCTATATATCTATTTTCGTTATGTACTACAAATTCTTTATTGAATAAAATAACTTTTTAGAGTACGTAGTTCACTTATTTTCTATGTAGGTTCAGAACGATGCTTATGTTGCTTGAATTTGATATAGAAAAAATGATGTTTTTCTTTGTGCCCCATTGCTGCTGTGTGAAAAACTTCGGTTTAAGTGGATTGATTGATATGTCTGTATTTATCTCTCTTAATACTTTTATGATAATAATTTCCATGCAACACAAAAAATTAATCCGAATAGTGATGATATATCTACATGCAGTTCCTGCTTAAAGAGGTTAATTTCCACAATTTACAAACTTTTTTATTTAATCTAAAGGAAGAACAGCATTCCTTGATCTCCTCGATAGCAACATGAAAATACTAGGCAGTCACTGTATTTCGAGGCAACTGGTTTCTTCGTTATCTAATTGACTTGAAGAGTCCTCAGTGATGACACTACTGGAATCAGAATTTGAAGAAGAAGATGAGGTTGGAGGGTTAGGACCAAGATCGTTCAAGTTTCCCATCATGAATTGGTAGAATCTTGGTGCTTGGTCATCCTTGCATGTCCCTATGTTTTCGTGATCTTCAGTAGTGTTCATGTTTCTTTTCTTCAGAAATATGTGACAAAAAACCCAATTGCCAATTTGAACCAACGAATTCTGCAAAATATAATCATATTTAAAATAATGAAAGAATACAACACATTTATAACGAAAGAATACAACACTTAAAGCAGAGCTAGTATGCGCCTAGGGGTTGTGACACATAATACTTAGACATCTTAAGTTTAAAATATTATATTTGAATAAAAAATACTTTAATAAAAAGATATTTCTTACAATTAGCCTGCGATTGATCTCTATTACATGCATGTATCTATTCTNCATTTACAACCTCACTAATTCACACGTCTCTCTTATTTTCTCTGTATTCATTTTCATTTTAAATTGCGTAATTAAATAAAAAAATAAAATAAATTATTATTTAAAATATTAATATTGTACAATCAATATTCGAATTTTTTTTTTGTATTGGAGAGTGATTTTAGACACACATAATTGCTAGTATATATAAAAATGTTATGTTTAGGTACAGTAGATTATTCTTTTAAGTCAAATTTTGCTTCCTTTTTTTTTTTTTTTTTTTTTCTAGTGGAAAACTCGGTTATTCATCTGGGTCAACATTGAAAACTAGAAGCTACGTTAAAAAGGATATTGGGTAGAAAGAATTACCGGTCGACCAATTTGAGGACTCGATCGACCGACGAATAAAGAATTTTTGAATAAAAACTTAATTGACTGATTGATTTGTGACTCTGATCAACCGATGTTGGCAAACGGAGACATCAGACGACATTATTTTTATAATTTTTTATTTTTGGTAATTTTTATAGTATTAGAGATTTTTGTCCGTTTTAGAGATGTTTAGACTTTTAGGGGTTCCTATATATCTATTTTCGTTATGTACTACAAATTCTTTATTGAATAAAATAACTTTTTAGAGTACGTAGTTCACTTATTTTCTATGTAGGTTCAGAACGATGCTTATGTTGCTTGAATTTGATATAGAAAAAATGATGTTTTTCTTTGTGCCCCATTGCTGCTGTGTGAAAAACTTCGGTTTAAGTGGATTGATTGATATGTCTGTATTTATCTCTCTTAATACTTTTATGATAATAATTTCCATGCAACACAAAAAATTAATCCGAATAGTGATGATATATCTACATGCAGTTCCTGCTTAAAGAGGTTAATTTCCACAATTTACAAACTTTTTTATTTAATCTAAAGGAAGAACAGCATTCCTTGATCTCCTCGATAGCAACATGAAAATACTAGGCAGTCACTGTATTTCGAGGCAACTGGTTTCTTCGTTATCTAATTGACTTGAAGAGTCCTCAGTGATGACACTACTGGAATCAGAATTTGAAGAAGAAGATGAGGTTGGAGGGTTAGGACCAAGATCGTTCAAGTTTCCCATCATGAATTGGTAGAATCTTGGTGCTTGGTCATCCTTGCATGTCCCTATGTTTTCGTGATCTTCAGTAGTGTTCATGTTTCTTTTCTTCAGAAATATGTGACAAAAAACCCAATTGCCAATTTGAACCAACGAATTCTGCAAAATATAATCATATTTAAAATAATGAAAGAATACAACACATTTATAACGAAAGAATACAACACTTAAAGCAGAGCTAGTATGCGCCTAGGGGTTGTGACACATAATACTTAGACATCTTAAGTTTAAAATATTATATTTGAATAAAAAATACTTTAATAAAAAGATATTTCTTACAATTAGCCTGCGATTGATCTCTATTACATGCATGTATCTATTCTTATGTGACTGTTTATGTTGTGTGTATCATTTGGATTTTGCTGGCATGGGCATTCTTACTTTCTTAGATTTCCATTTATGACTTTGCTATTTTAACAACTTAATGATTATGATTGGCAGATAGTTTGTTAAATAAATTATAAATTAAATTTTGTCAACACAAATATCATGTAATACTTTCAAAGCATGAACGCTCATCGGGATCTATTGTACGTAAACGATCATACTTGATCTCTTTTATCGGCAAACAATGGTAACTAACTACCCTTTTTTATTGTTGTTTCTTTGTATAAACTATACATCAGGGTGTAGTCCCTTTCGTGTTAATGAATCTTTTAAGTGTCAAGTGTGACATCAATAAAAATAAATAAAACATTTTATTTTCTAAGATTAGAAAAAGAAAATTAAAGTTTAGAGTTTAAGTTGCCACCCGAGAAAAAACTCCTGGCTCCGTCCCCTCAATTAAAGGAAAAACATGTAGAAAAGGCATGGATATCCTGAGTATTACCCCCCGAGTAGATGTCTTTGTAGACTGAGCAATGTCATCAGTAGCATTTCCGTGGTGGACAAGGCGAAATTCATGCATGATCCAATCTGTTCTAGCTGCATGAGGAGGTTTCCCTTTATAAAAAACCAATGTCTTCCTCATTCCCATTACTGGCTTTATTTTTGAATTTATAACTTGTTTGTCTAAACCAGTTGCCTTCCAATAACCACCACCAGTTGTCCTGTTGGTTTGGTTTCCATTTTGGTACTTGGCTTCCTTGTTGCTGAAGAAGTAGCGGTCCTCGTCCGACTCACCTGCCCATATCATTCATTCATCAACATAAATTATTTTTTTTTTTAAACCTTTAAGGATGTCTTGACCAACTTATGTGCACATCGACTAATTCTCTCTTCTACTTGGTCCGGTCAAACACAGGTTATCCACGTTAGAACTAAAGTATTCATGTAAGATAAATCTCTCCTGACTTAATTTCAAGGAATTGTTAAGATTTAAATTCAAGACGTCCGAGTCAACAACTCGTCCTTGTCACNGTTAAGGATGTCTTGACCAACTTATGTGCACATCGACTAATTCTCTTCTCTACTTGGTCCGGTCAAACACAAGTTATCCACATTAGAACTAAAATATTCATGTAAGATAAATCTCTCCTGACTTAATTTTAAGGAATTGTTAAGATTTAAATTCAAGACGTCCGAGTCAACAACTCGTCCTTGTCACGACTTAAACAACTCTTTGAGTTCAACATAAATTACTTCACAAGTCACATTTATACGCGCAACCATGGAAAAGCACCAATGAACTGAAGATCATTTCATTTCACATATGTGATATTGAAGGTCAATGGAAAACAGAAGGCAACCGAGTGCTACAAACGCCCTTCGTTGTGACATCTAGAGAGGATCGAATATATGTTGTTTTANCGCGCAACCATGGAAAAGCACCAATGAACTGAAAATCATTTCATTTCACATATGTGATATTGAAGGTCAATGGAAAGCAGAAGACAACCTGGTGCTACAAACGCCCTTCGTTGTGACATCTAGAGAGGATCGAATATATGTTGTTTTACCCCGAATATACAAAGACTATTTTTAAGCAAAACACTGACACTCGAGTCAAAATAAAATTACTGCATAAGGATGATAGTAGATCCAAAAAAAGCAAATATTTGTTTAAACTTGCTCAATTTGGATAGGAGATGAATCATATATATTGGACGATGGACGTATATGAAGATACCCGTATATACCCGTGCNAAAGTATTCGTTTAAACTTGCTCCATTTGGATAGGAGATGGATCATATATATTGGACGATAGACATATACGAGGATACCCGTATATATCCGTGCGGCAATAGAGGAGGGATCGACTAAAACTCATCCCTGCTCCGCCCCTCCGTACTAAACTCGTAATATATATATATATATATATNCAAATATTTGTTTAAACTTGCTCAATTTGGATAGGAGATGAATCATATATATTGGACGATGGACGTATATGAAGATACCCGTATATACCCGTGCGGCAATAGAGGAGGGATCGACTAAAACTCATCTCTGCTCCGCCCCTCCGTACTAAACTCGTAATATATATATATATATATACTATCACAAACCCCACCTATCCACATATTCTTAACTTTATAAAAAAACCACTTTATTCTTTTTTTTATCCATTTGTTATATAATGGGTTTCATCCTTCTTACAAAACTATTTATGAGGTTTTATGGTTTTTTTATTCAATTTTTTTTTTAAAATTATATAAATTAATTGTTATGGAAGAAGAAGGTGACGGAGACTGGAACGGGGACCAAAATTTATTCGCGAGACAAAGACAGAGATGGAGACAGAGACGGAGATTAAAATTAGACGAAGATTAAAATTTTTGCTGCTAATGAGGATGAATGAATATTTTTGAAGCAAATACGGNAAAAAAAAACACATTACTTAATTCTTTTTTTTATCCATTTGTTATATAATGGGTGTCATCCTTCTTGCAAAATTATTTATGAGGTTTTATGGTTTTTTTATTCAATTTTTTTTTTAAAATTATAGAAATTAATTGTTATGGAAGAAGAAGGTGGCGGAGACTGGAACGGGGACCAAAATTTATTCACGAGATAGAGACAGAGATGGAGACAGAGACGAAGATTAAAATTAGACAAAGATTAAAATTTTTGCTGCTAATGAGGATGAATGAATATTTTTGAAGCAAATACGGGAATGGAGACTACTGCCCTCACCCCCGCCCCGGTCCACTACCTTCCCTATTATTGCAGTCATCCCTTACTACATTCCTTCCTAAGTTAGGAATGGCGGGACATATTACTGTAAGAATCCCTCTAAAGTGGGTATCCTTTAGTATAAATAAGGGAGAAAGCAATGTTTATCAAAAAACTCTCAGCCACAGCGGAGTCTAAGGAGGGTAAGACATATGCGCATACGTGCTATGTGAAAACACTACCATAAGTGGTTGACAAAGCTGAAAAACATAATAGAAACCAAAGGGTAATTGGTATTGCTTTCGCACAAACCTGCAGGCAAATCCCAAGGATCGTGTTTGTATATATTGACCTCCGGAATGATTGTTGCAGGCAAAGGGCGTGAAAATATTTTGCGTGTGAGGTATTGAAAGACAATCTCTTCATCGGTTGGCTGAAATCGAAATCCAGGAGGCAATTTAATCACCCCATCTTTAACAAAATTGAATGTGTCCATCTTACCACTTCTTCCCTTCAAATTTAACTAGTCTCGCACTAAAATGACTCCAGCAACCAATGCTAAGCCGTCTGTGTCTCTGTGTGTGAGAGAGAGAGAGAGAGAGGGTCATGATTTGAAGGGAAAACAGATGGCTCTTTATAAAACGAGTACTGGTTTGATGACGGAAAGGTTGGGTGTAAAAAGAAGTTTTGTGAGACAGCTGTGGAAAGGAGACTTCCACAGTGATTTTATGCAAGGAAAATGCCGTCTTTGAAAATATTTATTGAACCCCAAGGTACTGCAAAAGGAAATATTCTCTGAACTTAAAATTTGGATTTAATAACCACCGAATAGGTAATAAGTTCTAATAAATATTAAAATTTATAATAAAATTAATAATTATAATTATTAAGTATACATTTTAAATTTATTTTTTAAGTTTGTATAGAATTGCTCGTAGTTCAAACGGTAAAAAGACAAATTGTAAATCTAGATGCATTAAGTTCGAATTCTGTCAATCTCTTAGGGTTAGGCAATGAGGAATTTATCCCTCATCAATACCTTAGTCTCAGCGTGAATAGTCTGCCTTTAACTGGACTAGAGAAGGGATCGATTAGTCGGGGTGCGCATAAACAGACCCAGACACTCCTGACCATTAAATAAAAAAAAAAAAATACTTTTTGGGATATTTGTCGTTGTGGAACATTTTGACCTACCTAATGCTACGAGTAATAATCTATTTAGACTTAAAAATTTAATTTAATTCATCGACTTAATGACGTGGTTCTATTGTAATTCGGAATCAAACCAATGTTTATAATAAATTAGGTCAATAAATTAGGTGAATAAATTAAGTAATAGCATTACTCCTGTCTCTACTAATAGGTAGAAGTAGCAACTTTCTTTAGTTGTATTCCATGTTTGATGCTTTCACATGAAAATGTATGCAGATTCCATGCTGAGTCCTAACGCTGTTGGGAACACGTATGGGAGATGGATAGTGATGGATTTAGGAATTTAGGTGGTGTTTGGCAACACTTAAAAAAGTACTTTGTACTTTGACTAGCACCAATGACTCCAAAGAGAGAGGTAGACAGACACTGCAATTTCAAAAGAACTTTCTCTCTTGTTGATCTTCTAGATTTACAACAGAATTTACAAAATCTGTGAGTATAGCCTTTATCTTTTGTACCATTTTTTGTCAATATAATAAAAAGCATTACTCGACAATGACACTCAAAAATTTTAGCGGAGCAAATGCTCCCGTCTCTCCCCCTAGATCTATCATCGTGAAACAATTTTAATCATAATTTAGATTTTTTCAATTATTTTTTTACACAATTTTACTCAATAGTATATTACTCACTGTGTATGGGTGAAAAGTTCAAATATAAATAATGGGTTTCAGATGAATACACAGTAAATGATCTATTATGTGAAAAAATAATAGAGGGAATGAATGGTAATTGAGCGGAACAAAAAAGTTGGCTACATTATGGTCTCTCTCTATGTTCTGCTGTTAAGAGTGAGTAAAAATCTCCTATGTGAATGCAATTCTTTTGTGCAATTGCTTAATTTATAGTGCTTTGAGATTGGGATTTCATTTATACATATAGCTTTTAAGCATGGTTAGTCATTCCTCCTAACAAATGGCTGAGCCTATCACGAGCAAAGCAGACAAAGTACTACAAGAAAAGGCAAACATCGTATCAACGGATTCTTTAGATGCAATTTGATACTTTAAGAAATCTCTAATGCTCTGTTCGGTACGATAAAAAATTAAGAGAATAAAAAATTGGAAAGATGAAAAGTTAGAAGGATAAATAAAACATCATATTTTGTAATGAAAGAAAATAGGAAGGATGAAAAAGTGGATGAATTAACTTTCCTTCCAACTCACTAAAATCAATCCCTCCAAAATCAGAAAGAAAGTGGATGAAAAATTAATTATTTGTGTTAAGATGTATCTTATTTGTCTATAAGTCTTATATATACATTAATTTCATATAAAAATACAATAATAAAATATGTATATATATTTTAAAAAATTTTAAAATTAATTTTAAAAAAATAAAAAAATAAAAAATTTAAATTAAAAAAATATATTTTTTTCATTTTAACTAAATGTAAAAATTTTTGACTCAACAAGATGACACGATTCGAACTCGATTCGAAAATAAATAGGTTAACTCGCAACTTGACATGACATAATTAATTAAATGAGTTAAGTTAGGTTTAACTAATATTCGACACAAACTCGTAATAACTTAACACGAATCTGACACGAGTCGACTCTATTGTCAGTATCAAAAAAAAAATAGTTTTTTTTTATTTTTCATCCATTCAACTAAATACAAAGAAATGAAAGTGTATCATTCCTACTTAAAATGTATCCTTCCTACTTTTCATCCTCCCTACCAAATGGAGTATAACTGCAAATCAAATAACACCCAGCAGATATGCATCCATTGGAAAAACTTTCCCCTTTTATAAAGTATAAGTGTGTAAAACTAACAAAGTCATTCAATTTTAGTTTAAGCTTGGCTCAATATCAACTTAAGTATGTTCATTTGGGTCGGAAAATTAACTGAATATGATCAAATCGTTCAACATTCAACTCGAGTCCTACTGTTATGCCGCTTGGTTTGATGTAAAAAATAAATATTTTTCTGGCTTAATGGTTAAGACATGCATAACTTTAAAAGATTGTTGACTTGAGACCCATTAGGTGTGGCTTTTTTAACTTTGGAAGCCGGATAGATCCAAACCTGAATTAAGTAATTTAGAAATTGAATCAAACTTGAACAAGAATTGAGTTAGTCTTTACTATCGAAATGGAGCCAAGATTTAACTAGCAACAGTCAATTCGAAGGCCGAGTTTGAACATACCAAAACTTGAAAGGCTCACCTTGGCTCGAGAACCAAGAACTTGAACACCTAACAGCTGCTTTGATTTGCTTTTTGTCTAAAGGAAATAGGCTTCGTTTTGGAAGTCTGACGCATAAAGGTCATGGATCCACCTCAGTATGGAGAGACTTTTGAAGGGTAAACTTTAGTATCCTACTTTTCTTTGTTGATTGTGAATAATCTGGTTCGAAAGAAAAAGAATCGCATAAAAAGCCAAGTGCTTTAAGGAAAAGCAAAACTTCAAAAAGCCACGAGTTGAAGAAGAACTGATTTAAGATCGGATAGGTGCTTTCCTTCGTTGAGAAGATGTTGCTTTTGTTGAGGTTTTCCCAAACCCACGTCCCTTCAAAATTTAATTCTTAAAATCATTCACTTTTAAAATTAATTCTCAAACTCAATCTTTTTTTAAAAACGTCATTTGAAATGACGTCTTCTCACTTGAAAACGTCATTTGCAATGACGATTTGAAATTTAAATTTTTTTCCTAAAAACGTTATTTTAAACAGCATTTAGAGTGACGTTTTTAAACATGATTTTTTTAAACGGCACTAACAGATGTTAAGAATTACAAAAAGGTTGAAAACGTCATTTCAAATGACGTTTTCAGCCTCTTTGTAATTCTTAATGACGTTTCTATCCCTTAACTTTTTACAATGATATTTTCTTCTAACCCAACTTGGAGGTAAAATTCAGGATTAACTATGAAATTTACCATATTTTTTTTTATAAAATATTATAAATGCATCAAATAAATTTTAATTTTACAAATGCATCGATATTCTAATCAATTTTAATATGATCGTAAATTGTTTTTCGACTTAAAATAATATTTTAAAATATCGAACACCGGTCATTAAGTGATAGGTTTTCTGCCTTTTTTTTTTGAATAAAATGTTAAATGTTTGTTTAATAAAAAACCCTAACGATGATACCTAAAATTATTTTGCTCACGTTCTTTTTGAGTGGATGAGTTTTTTTTTATTTACTTAAAAATTTAATTACATTCAATAAATAAATTATGATAATTTTAAAATGCTTGTATTTTATTTGTAATGTTGATTATGTCAACATTAATGTTTAATCAATTGTGAAAAAATATAAATTATTCAGAACGTATATATGTAAAAAAAGGATATCAATAACGTGGTTGATATTCAAAACAACATAAAAGATTATCGAGTATACATAAATATGATGGGATAAAAATGTCTGACGCATCATCGTCCAAATCAGAGAAATAAGAAAATTTAGAATCAGAAACTAGTAACGGATTCTATAAAATTTCAATTTCGGCATATTCAGGATCAAAATGCTCTATTTTTGCATAATCGAATGCATGAAAATGATCTAGACGACGCTGCATTTGATCAATTTCACGTTCAAGGATTGATATGATCTCGTCATGATTATTTAAATTCTGTGAATTGTAAATATCAGCTGAACGTGCCTTTGGTACTGTAATTTCATGCCAACGACAAAATATTTCAAGGTCACAACGTTTGTCATATAACTGTCGCCATCTTAGTTGGAGTTTGATATGAGCACTTGAAGGTGTATAATCAGTTGCAGGGCTAACAATTACATGTCTAGCTTGTCCAAATGGGTGATAAGGGTCGATGGACTCATTACGGAATGCACGTTTTCATCCATACCATGTTATATCATTGGAGTCGGTATATGATTTGATAAAAGGAACTTTGTTCAGCAATGTTGAGTTGTCCGTTGAGCGTTCACGTTTGTTATCCGAAGATGAACTGTTTTGGTCATTGCGTGAAGAAGAACTCACATGTGATGTGCTCCTATACATATTGTTTGGTGGTGATGCATTTACACAATTGTGAATGGTAGTATATATATGCTGGGTTCGACAATTAAAAATTGCAGTGAAAGGACATGAATCTGCATACTTTGGAATTGATTTGACAGTAATGCAAAATGATAATGAAAAAGGTAGGATATGACAACACACTACATACATTGATAAAGCCACGAGATAGATTAAAGTAAATAGGACATTACACTACAAAGTTGAGAACTGATTTGACAATGATAGGATGTGACAATGAAAAAATTGAGATAGGATAACACACTAAATAAACTGATAAAACAAC